CTCCTTTGTTAACGTTGGTACCGCTTCCTTCTCTGTCGAGTAGCTGCCGGCGTCGTCTCCGATCGGACTCCGTGTTGGTGTCGTATGTCCAGCTCCTGATCGTGGACACAACACGATGTCCAGCTTGCTTTGTGTTGAGGAAGCTTTTCACCACATGTGTATCCGCCTCCAGCAGATGAATCTATAGTGTCTCAGTTTAGTGCGTATTAGATTTACTACCGACTGTCACATCCAGTGTGTTCTATGTTCATGTTGCACAGTAAGCACACAGAGTGGACTGTAGCACACTGGCTGTACTGAGGAACTCCACCCTCTTGATATGTACATACAGGATGTAGTTGAAAGCTCTGGAACCAAAGTGTAAGTTGATGTTTTTCTTCTAATTGTCAAAATACATTCAGAATTTTTATTGAAAACTGAAGGAAATAAATCTATGAACATTACAGTTCTTACACGTCTTGGTGTTCAGTCAGTGGTGGTACGGCAGAGACGTCAGCTGTGATTTCATCTCTGTGACGTTTTGCTGACTCAGGTTATGTTCCAGTCTTTATTATCAGCCTGATCTTTTCTGTTTGGTTTGATTTCTTTAATATCTCATTGGTTGAGGAAGAAAAACTGAACACATCGTGAGGCCAAAATGAAAACTTGAATTTGGATCTAAGACTCGGTGACGTGAACGGGGATGCAGAAGAACCTGATGACGTCTTTAAAAAGCTGCTTGTTGTGGATGTACAGAGAACAGAAGCAGGAACTTGACAGGCTTGGTTTATCAGTAGCCGTGGTGTCGTTGTGGTCAGCTGAAGCTTACGCTGAGTCCGGCATCGCCTCGTTTCAGATGAACATGACCCGCAGACTGTGGAGCAAGAACTTCAATTGTTCCTTCCCTCGTGAGGAGACGGTGGCTGTCATCGCCGTGTCCAGCTTCATGGTCTTTCTGCCCATCATCTTCTACTTGAGCAGCTTCCTTCACTCCGAACAAAAGAAACGCAAGCTCATACACCGTGAGTAACCAGCTTAATTCGCCCATTGTCACACTCACAGAGATTTTTTGACAGGGTTTTGGGGGTTCGGGCTCTTTGTTGAGGGAGGACTTGACTGGCTGTGATATTGGGGTTTGGCTCAGATCATAGACGAGGGTTAGGGATTTGGTTTTTGTGTGCGGGTGGACGGTGGAAGCCTTGAAGTATCTGAGGACCATTTCCAAGCCTGGGGGATGCTGTGGAACAGAAACGAACGCCTCGTGATGGTCACAGAGCCAAACCTAAGAATACATGGAATACAGATATTTATAATCACTTTGGATCCCATCATACAGGGACTTAAAGTTCTGTAGTGGGAAGTATTTTATGCTTGGGAGGCAGTGGGCAACAGACAGGAAGCCATGTGTGGCAGTTTTAGGTTTGTTGATTGTGTACCGGACATATGAACAAGCGCCAGTCATGAGTTAAAATGAGGACGTTCAACAGTCCAACTAACAGACCTTACACCAGAGAATGAAGTGAAATAAAGACTTCAGTCAGATTGTTTTGTGATGTTTAGAGTAAGAACACATACAGACCTCGTGCTCTGTCAGAAGTCTGTCATTAGTTCATCGTGAGCGTGTGGAGTCAGGTTTGGAGTGTTTTTTGTGTTTTTGTCTTTCTACACACCTGCAGTGGATTTGAAATGAAGCCATCAGGATGTGATTGAGGTGTAGATGAACTCATTCTGCAGTAACGTTGTAGGACCTCCAGCCTCTGTCCTCCGTATGTAATGACAGCTGAAACCAGACGTTTACATCCACTCTATGAAAAGACTCATAACTTTTTTTCTCACTATCTGACATTAAATCAGACTAAACTGTTCCTGTTTTAGGTCAGCAAGCAAAATTATTTCTATTTGCTAAACAACAGAATAATGAAAATAAATCCTCTCTCTCATTGTTCTGGCGTTTAGCAAATAGAAATAGTGTTGGTAATCCTGACTGACCTCAAACAGGAAGAGTTTAGTCTGATTTAATGTCAGATAGTGAGAAAAAAAAGGTTTTATGTCTTTTTTTTACAGTAAACTTCTGGTTTCAGCTGTGTGTGTTTAGTAACTTTAGGAGCGACCAGATCAACTGTTTATTCCTAAAAATATATAAATGTAGTTGTGAAGTCAAACCCTAAAAAGTCTGGAAAGTGGAATTCTTTCTCTCAGGTGAAAAAAATCCCCTTGATAGCATTAAGTCAACAGCACTCAGAAGGAGGGTTTACTGAAGACTAGAGCCACTGGGAACACTGAAGGAGAACCAATGTGTTGGACTGGGCGTCTATGGCTCCACTGGAGCTGGTCACTGCTGTGTACTCATGATGTGAATGCTCAGAGACGTAGCACGGGGAAGTTTTTAGAGATATAAATACTTTCTGCTCAGATTCAGTCAAACTGGACAGTGTGACAGGGCGCTGCTTCCCTGTACAGACGGATGATGACCTGAAATGCATCACGTATGAACCATAAGAGCCTCTGAAGACTGACAGATGGAATATTCTTAAATGGCTGAGTCGGTCACCTTCAACTTTATTAAGGTTAAAACTGTTCTGTTCAGTGAAGTCCTGGAAAAGCATCTGAAGGGAAGAAATGGCAGGATGTTGTTGATGTTAGTGGGTTTCAGACTACATCCAGATTCATCCCCTCACATTAAAGAAAAGGAAAAAGTCACAACAGTCACTCAAATAACTAGGAACTGAAAAAAGTAATAATAAAAAACAATTTGCTAAATTATTATTTAGTGAAATCAGACGTTGCTTTGAATTGTGGTTGAAAAGAATGATTAAAAAAAAACAAGCAAACGAAAACAAAAAAACTGTCCCGGACCAATGAGAGCACCCATCATGCTGGTTTGTTTGTTTTTTGTTTGTTTGTTTGTTTTTTTAATATTTCTGTTGAACCAAAGCGTCGTGATTCTCATTAATTTTTTATTCATTATTATTTTTGTCAGTTTCGACTCATTCCAGCTGTTCTTCCTTCTTTAATGGGACGATATGAGGACGTCTGAGGACGTCTGTATACTAACAATATTTCTTACATGTCTCATTCTGTCCAATAACTTTTGAGCCTCGTAGAATAAAAGGACTGTGTAAAAAAAACTAAATAAAAAGGGTTAATTCATAAACAGTTAAAGCAGTATTCTTGTTCAGTCGTGACTGTTTGCGTCCACTGTGGCGGTGAGCAGAGGCCACATCAGGACCGGTTCAGTTCTGCACAGTAACCTGAGTTCTGTCTTCACAGCCAAGCGAGCAAAGTCCTACAACAGTCTGATGAACATTCAGGACAAACTGAGCTGAGGAGGACCAGGAGGACCAGGAGGACCAGGAGGACCAGGAGGACCAGGAGGACCAGGAGGACGGCTTTCTGTCTGCTAACAGCTACGACCTGGGAGCGCTGTTGTCTGGTCGCTGCCTCGAGGCTGAAGTTTGACTGAAGGACTCAGCAGCAGCTCCAAGCAGAGGACTTCAAACAGGAAGTGAAACGCACTAAACAGACTTTGCACATTTTGCTTTCACACCCTTTTAAAACCTTTTTCTCAAAGTGCAGTAATCAGTGTCGGGACACAAGATGCAGAATCTTCTTTAGAGGTTTTTATTCTTTTTACAAACATTTCAAACATTTGATTGGAACTCGCTACGACTGAATCTCACATTTAAACACCTGCTTCGTTTTGTTGAGCTCGTCAAACCCGGATCGCTCTAAAGCCCGACTGGAGCCGGAGTCAGCGCCGGTCTAACTTCATAAACTTCTGATCAGATCATGTATGTTGCAGCACAGTCATCTTCAAACAGCGCCGGCCTTTCCTTCCCTTTTTTAACGGAGCAGTTTTCAGTGCATCCTGCTGTCGCTGCAGAGAGGCCTGTGTGTGTGTGTGTGTGTGAATGAGTGTGTGTGTGTGTAGGTGTGTGTGTGTGTGTGAGTGTGAGAGAGTGTGTGTGTGTGAGAGTGAGTGTGTGTGAGTGAGTGTGTGTGTGTGTGTGAGAGTGTGAGTGTGTGAGTGTGTGTGTGTGAGAGTGAGTGAGTGTGAGTGTGTGTGTGTGTGAGAGTATGTGTGTCTGTGTGTGTGTGAGTGTGTGTGTGTGTGTGAGTGTGTGTGTGAGTGTGTGTGTGAGTGTGTGTGTGAGAGTGTGTGTGTGTGTGTGTGTATGTGTGTGTGTGTGAGTTCTATTTATGGATTGAGAAATGGGTTTTTCTGTCTCTAATGTATGTCCAGAAGAGAGCTGCAGAAAGGAAGCACTTGATGTCCATTAGTGGTGACATGTATCTGCTGTAAGAAGAGGGGGTGCACATCAGCGGGGTGGGGGTGGGGTGGGGTGGGGGGGTAAATAAAGGCACAACACACATAATGTAAGAGCCCTCCACAGTCCCACACTGCTGTGATGCTACCTGTTTTCTAGTCTCTGTGTTTCTGTGGTTGCGTAAAGCTTTTAATGCGCTTTGTTGTGGTTCCCGCTGATGTTTAACTTAATTCGTTAAAGGGTTCCCGACTGCTCGTGATGCTGACGGCTCCTCCAGCAGTGATGAATCTGCTGTGAAGTCATGTAAACCTTAATTTTTTTTTTTTTGAATGCATAAATAAACAACTTCATGTGGTGAATATGGAGCAGGCGCTTTGATTTGTTGTGTCGCTGATGATTTGGATTCATCTGGAGGTTTGGTCTCAGAGGAGGAAGTATCAGTGAGGATGTGAGCAGAGTGTTTTGGACAACTTCTGAGTCTTTGTGCTCGTTTTTCTTCCTCCATTCTTTGTGCTTTTACTTTGTTACGCTGCATTAATGTGACGGCCTCTAGTTATATTACAAATGAACACTTTTATCCAAAACCTTTGCAGATTTCAACAACGTTTTTTTGAACATTTACTGTTATTTTACAGCTGAATTCCTGATAACAACAACCAGTAAAACTGCAGGAACAAAACTATTCATTTAGCTGCAAAAAGAAAAACAGACTTAAACCGTAATAAAATGATGATTCACTCTTTAACGATGTCTGAACGTAAAGCTGTGATGTTTACAGTCAGCAGAAATATTAGAAACTCAATGAAGGACATTTTTAAATGTTATTTTACTGATCTCCCTGTTTTGATAAATCACAGATAATATTAATAATTAAGAAACAGATCAGAACATTTTGTCCACATCAGAAACATGCAGTGATCAGAATCAGAACCAGCTTTAATGGACCAGTATGTACACAACACACATGGAGTTTGGTTCTGGTGTCGCCCCGGGAATGAGCACGGACACGAATAACAGCTCTAGAAAAAAATAAGAATTAGAATAAATAATAATAATAATAATAAATAAAACAAGATTATACAGACAGTCATTTATTGTCTCACAACCTCTGACTTCAAATCTGATTATTTTGCAGACATGTTTGTTTTTATTTCCACCTTTTATTTACTGATGTTACAGGTTTTGTTCTTGCAGTGATCCTCTGGGCTTTATTCTTATTTTTAATGTTTAACACGTTTGCTTCTAGATTTTTAGTTTTTTTTGTTTGTTTTCAGTCCAACCAAACCAGCCTCACTGAGCAGCTTGAACAGGCCTTCCTGAGAACACACACACACACACACACACACACACACACACACACACACACACACTGATGCTTCACTAACACTCTGCAGGACTTTTACCTGAAGTCCTGTTTTTTTTTTTTCTCTTTTATTGCTGAATCTTTACTTTTCTGAGTCCCAGTGCGATCCCAGCAGCAGCAGCAGGGTTCTGGTTCCGGCCCACAGCACACAGGCCCGGTCCTTGTTCTCGGGTTACGTGGCGGCCCGCCGGTGTTGCTCCGCGGCTCCGGAGCTTTCCCTCCGTCATGAGCCGCTAATCCCAACGTGGGATAAAGATACTTGGCCGAATAATCGCAGCAACACATCCGTTAAACTCCTTTGGCTTCTTGGTCTTGTGGAGCCGCTGCTGGCCAGCGGCGGCTCTAAGAGCATTTACGGATCTGCCGGGTCATATGATCCGGTTGCGGCTGAAAACACGGGCCGTGCTCGTGTCGCTCCGCCGCCGCGCTGAGGAGGTGTTGAGCGGCTCGTGTGCGGCGCAGCGGCCCCGGAGCTCCGGGAGGACAGCTGTGGTTCCGATAAGCCTCCGTGCTGCCTTTTCTCTCTCTCTGGAGGCACAGCGGGTCCTGAAGCGGGACTGGAAGTCAAAGAAAGAGTCCCGGTGAGGTGGAGGACCGGAGGACCGGAGGCTGCCACGTGATGGAGAAGCAGAGAGCTGGAGGCTGAAGTTAGTGGTGGAAGGAGTCTGCACTGGTCTGTCTTTAATGCTACTGCAAGTGAGAGAACTGAGCTCAAATGGTTTCCACCATGAAGAATGAAGAACGGATCCAGGTGTGGATGTGACACCAAACATCTGTTCTTCCTCCTTCTGCTGATGTTTGACCTTCACTGATCACAACAATGCAGTCTGACACCACACACAGGCCTTCACATGGATCTTCTCCAACATGATTATGTGACATCAATCAATCAGTCAGAGTTTGTGTCTGTAGGCCTCTACAGCAGCCCAGAGGGCGTCCAAAGTGCTTCACAGTAAAAATAATAAGAATAGCTTCAACCAGAACCAGCAGGAAAACAGACACTAAGATAAATCAAAGTAACAGAAGCAGCCTGGAAACCAATTAACATGTAATTAACAAAAACAGGAAGCTGAAGTCTCCTCCTGCTTCTCCTCCACTGCTGCAGGTTCTGCATCTAGAATCAGATGATCGATCACAAAATGTTCTTTACATTAAACACGAGTCCTCCGTTCAGACAGTCTGACACCACAAAGCTGGAGTCGCCTTCAAACAACGCTTCCTGCCAACATGATGGTGTGACATCAGAGCTGCTCCATGATCTGGAAACCAGTCATGAGCAGCATGTGATGGCTAAGATAAGAAACCTGGAAACCTGGAAACCTGCCTCTTGTTTTGTTATAAACAAACAAACAAACAAACAAACAAACAAACAAACACCCCACTGAAAGTAAAATCAGATTTCTTTCCAGGTATAGTTTATACAATACCAGTAATTTGTTCTGGTGGGTCGGTGCAACAAAACAACAATAAATATGAGTAAACAATAAATATGAGTAAACAATAAAGTAAATAAAAATAACTGTAATAGTGCAAAGAATCAAAGTTGAATCTAAATAAGACCCGTAGAGCGGTGGTGTTGTTTACAGGACTACTGAGGGGCTGATATTACATTATGTTTACATTATATACAGATATAGAGGGGGGCAGGAGGGGCAGTGGGGGGCAGTGGGGGGCAATGGGGGTCCTGGGCCTTGTTCATGAGGCCGTTCGCAGACGGAAGAAACTGTTTTAGTGGCGTGAGGTTCTGGTCCTGATGGACCGAGCCTCCTGCCAGAGGGGAGTGATTGGAGGAGTTGAGGCTGGAGGTTCAGCTTCTGCCTGTAGGCTGTACTTCTGTGCTTCACATGAAGTCCTGAGCAGCGAGGAGGGCTCCAGGTGGGACTCATTGTTCTGGATTAAATATCATATAAGGTCTCGTCTCACAGTCGCTCTCCTCCCGACGGTTGCTCCTCCTGCTGCTGTTTGACCTTCACCCAGCAGGAGGATGCAGCTCTGTGTGGAAACCAGTCCACATTGATACACGTGTGATGGGTAAACTGGGAACCTCTGGTCCATTTACTGTTATTTTAGCCCGTTTGGTAAATTACAGGTAGAAACTAATAAGATCACAGAAAAGAATGATTAATTTACAAAAAAGGTCAAAACTGCAAATAAAGTCAAACATCTTTATTTTCCCTTAAAAAAAAACAAACAAAATTTAATTTACTGTGAATGTAAAAGTCAAATCAGCCATTTCAAGAAGAACCATTTTTCAAGACATTGCTCAATAAAAATCGTCCAAATTAAAGATTCACATTTTTTAAAATCATTTTTGATATTTTGAAAAAATATACAAGTAATACAGAGTACAATCACAGAAAAGTGTTTATGAACATGGTGACTGCAAAAACAAAACTCTGTACTTAATCAAACATTTGTATTTTATATTTATTTTTGCAAATACTAATTTGTTCTTCAAAATCTGTAATTCCTTCTATTAAACAATATTATAAAATTACATGGCTTTGGTGTAATTAAATGAGGAGAAAATGTCATTACTTTACAGATATTTGCTGATAGTTTCACAGCGTTCACAGTTTTTAAATATCACAGTATTTCACTGGTTTGTCTTTGTTATATTTCTGGTGCCTTTGCTGCCAGATTTTCATAATTATGCATCCATCCATCCATCCATTCATTCATTCATTCATTTATTTATTTTCATTTTATCTATTTACAGCCTAGATTGCTACACTTAAAAACAATCTAAATATTCACATAGATACAGGGTTTTAACTAAAGAGGAGAAGCAGTTTTAAATCAGCTGCTTAATCCAGTTTTTTTTTGTGTGGAAAAAAACCCCACACGAGATGTAATTCAAGTATTTTCTGAAACATGTGGAGACGATGCAAACTGCTTTAGCTGCTTTAAGATATGTCCGATGGTTTCATTTCTAGAAGTGTTATCACAACGCACGTCTTCATCTTGCATCGTGTTTTTGCCACTTATATACTATATATTACTTATATATATATATATATGTGTGTGTGTGTGTGTGTGTGTGTGTGTGTGTGTATGTATATGTATATGTATGTATGTATGTATGTATGGCTTCAGTCTGCTGGCTCCACATCTGGCCACAAGGACAGCGTTTCTGTCACATGCGGGTTAACAGGATGAACTTCCTAATCTTTGGAACACAACATTTTACCTTGAAGGACAGAAGTGGCTTCAGGATTCAGTCTGTTCTGGAGTCTCTAAGGTCACTGTATAAAAGAGGAGGTTTTTATTTATTGAGTTTTTTGCTGCTGCTGCTGCAAAAAGTACATTTTGGTGTCCAACAATGTTCTTTTTGGATACTTCAGTTTATAATAAACTGCAGCGGCCGAGGCAGCTTATTTACCTTCTGGTTGAACTGACTGCAGTAATTATGGTCTAATGCCATGCAAAATGATTGTACACCTAATCCCCTCACAAAGAGCTTTGATTTACAAAATGACTGGAAGAATAATTCTACTGTAAGTGTGACGGTTTATGTTGAAGAGATTAATATGATTTTGTGAAATGACTCATATCCTGATCTTGACTGCAGCTTGGTCGAGTTCCCTGTTGGATTAAAGTGGGCGGGAGAAAAAAAAAGTGTTATTTTAAGATCTCGTTGCAAACAAAAGTGACAAAAATACACTGAAACCTACCAGAAATATAGATCCAGACACATTTAATTAATATTTGTGCACACTCACGATGGTGAAGACGTGTTGTTGGTTTCACTTTGTGCTTGCAAAGCAGGATTTTTATGTTATTTAATGATTCGTCACCTTTCGTGCATCAGCAGTGGAACAAACAGACGACCTGCTACGACTATTTGTGCTAAATGCATGAATTTAATCTGAACATGTGGAATCAAATTCCAAAACTAGATTCCATCTGTTTTTATTAAATGTAAAATTTTCCTTATCATGAAGTTAGTTTTTATAAAAATGAGCCGACATGTTTAGAAATCCGTCCCCTCCTTGAGCCCGTACAGGCGTGTGAACACGTCAGCTGACTTGTGTGCAGCTCAGGAGGGACAGAAGCAGAGATGCTGCAGATGAAGCTGAGGATTGTTGATGTCTGAAATGTGGACTCAAACCTAAAAGAGCTAAATACCGGATAAATGCACGCTGTGAGAGACGCTGAGTGGCCCAGACCTTGGGATGATTGTGTTTACTACAACAACTACCCAACATGCAACGTGTCAATAAAATGCTGTTGTTTTTTCTGCAGTAGCCTCTCCCTAGCCTCCCCCCCAGTCCTCTTCATATTCAGAGGCTGGGATGATGTAGTTAAAGATTTAGAAACAACAGAGTTAAGTTGGAAAATAAAATTACTGCTGTGCTTTTTTTTTTTTTTTTTTGCAGAACATGCTCCACAGATGGCAAAAACAAACTCCCCTTTGCAGAAGTTACCTTGAGACAAGGCCGGTGCGTTTCATATTTGATAAGCAGGGGGATGCTCTTCATGTTGTTTGTGAACCCGGCCTTCTGTTCTCATTTATTAAATCTCTTTTTTGTTAAATGACTGTTTTGCTGTTCTTTGACAAGGCCGTGGCCTCTCCCGGACTACATGCCTTTGTGTTTTTCTGCTGTCTTCTGCACAGCGCATCCCGTGTTCTGAAGCGGCGAATGTCTCCTTCGTTATGGCGATATTAGGAAACCGTTAGTTAGGACTTAAGATGTTACGCAACCCTCCACCACCAACAACACTCTAAGCTGTCAGTTAGTTAACTGGCTGAAGGTCAGGCTTAGATTATGCACCTCTCAACCCCTGAGCAATGAATATGATGCTTTGTTGAACAGGGAGTAAACATATGCCCCTGGGGGTAGGAATTAGAGACACACACACACACATGCACCCTCGCCCACGGAGCGTATGCAAAGTGAATGGGGCTTATTATACACCTGCGAGTGGGGTCAAAGTCTGTCAATCCCTGGCTTATGGTATTATGATAGATTATAGAATCACTCTCTAATGGCAGTCATTCAGTTTGTAATCTCAGCAGCTTGATGCAAGCACTCAGCGTTCCAGCTAAGGGTCTGTTGAGAATAAGGCCTTCTCCTCATTCATTCCTCACTTCCCCCCCTCGCTCAGAGGTCTTATGACAAGTCAGCTGTTGGTGACATCACAGATGCTGGATCATATGTCAGAAACCTTTGCTGGCTGACTTACATCCCTTGTGGCTCAGCGGCAACCGAGGCCACTTGAGGCCAAAAGAGCGGCGAGGTGCCTCGGGGGGTGAGGGCTGAGCACGAGGGCTGCCGGCGGGCGCGGAGGGCGGGGGGCGCTCTTCAGGGCAAGAACATCTGACTCATGTGCCAGTTTGTTTGTGTGGGCAACCAGACAGGGCCCATCTTGCTATCAGCTTGAGGAGACATTTATCATCTGTGTGGAGTGTGTGTGTGTGCGTGAATGAGAAGATCCAGACTGTGAACACGTGAGTCTCTGGATTCCTGTTTTCTGATCAGAGACACAGAGAACCACGGCTGCTGAATGTGCAGGAAACACACTTTAGTTAAAAAATAAAACGTTTGAGGTATTTTAGTTTGTGGAGTTTTAATCATGAGGTTGTAGCACCCCCTAGTGTTAGCTCTGCAGCATGACACTGACGAGGCAGCTGAGAAGCAAGTTGTTTGTTTTTAGTGAACATTAAGCTCCCTAACGTGCTTCGTTAATGATCTAATGAGTTGTTTTCTTCCCTTTTTTTTAACAGTAGAAAATAGAAATGATCCCACTGTAGTCAGTCCAAACACACAGAACCTGATGTTTGGCCTAACATTGATTTAAAAACACAGATTTTTGTGATTGATTAGTTAAATCAGTCATTAGTTGATATTATTATGTCTTTGCCTGGCACATGTAAAAGTACCGTTTCAGTCGAATTAATGGATCTCATAAAGCTTCACTTGTCAAATGAAGGACTTATTGAAAAACAGAACACAGCTTTTGCATGTACAACTTTCAGAAATGGCCCTTTTAAGGACACTGACAGTATTTGTACCCGTCCTACAGCATGGAACCCACAGGTTGTGAGACACAATAACACCTCTAGATGGCAGCACCAGGCCATGTGTAAGTAAGTTCTTAAGGTGTTTTTATTCCCCTTCACGCCACATTTCCTCGTCATGCTCACAGTGTTGATGCAGTGAGATAATATATTGTAGCATCTGTGTCAGAGTGTTCTGGGTTGATCAGTGCTTTTTGGTGGAACCAGCAGGATACGACACAGCAGTGGTGGGCCTGACCTTCATCAACAGCAAGGAGGACTATCTGATGGAGATCAGCCACCTGGAGGACTGGTGCAGAGACAACAGCCTCCTCCTGAACATCAGTGAGACCAAAGAGCTGATGGTGGACTACAGCAAGAAGCAGCAGAGGGCCTACCACCCACTCAGGATCAGACAGAGGTGGAGCGAGTGGAGAGCTTCAAGTACCTGGGTGTCAACATCACCAGGACCTGACGTGGTCCTGCCACATCAACACCCTGGTGAAGAAGCTCCACAGCGTCTCTACCTCCTCTGACGTCTGAGGGACTTTAAGCTCCCTCTCAAGGTGCTCAGGAGCTTCTACACCTGCACCATGGGAGTGTTGTGGCTGGGAGCATCACCACCTGGATGGGCAGCAGCACCCAGCAGGACTTCTGGGCCCTGAGGAGGATGGTCCGCTCATCAGAACCAACCTCCCCAACCTGCAGGACACTTACACTAAACAATGCAGGTTAAAGGCAGGAAGATCTCAGTGAGCCCATCCACCCCAGCCACAGACTGTTCTCTCTGCTGCCACCAGGGCGGCGTTACTGCTGCCTGAAGGCAAACACAGAGAGGATGAGGAGGAGCTTCTTCCCTCAGGCTGTCCACCTGCTGGACCTGAAGCAAGAGACTCAATAACAGTCCAACCCATATCCATCCATCCATCATCTCTACACCTTCATCCTCACATAGTTGCATTAAGGTACAGCTGGTGTTTTCATGTTGTCATTCATTATTATTGCATTTCAATCATGTAGAAACGGAAGACCTGTGGACTGGAGATTACATAAGTAACAGAAAACCCAAAGTTATGTTTAGTGGCCGTTTGTCGTTTGAATATCAAATCAAGAACGAAACAAACGCGGTGCAGCACAAGTCCTGTTCATCACCGCTGACTGTCTAGTTTCCCAGGGCACCTGAACGTATCAGCCGCTGCTCTGTCGCCATAGCAACGCGTACCAAACCGACTCGGAGCTGCTGCGTCTCGTCTTCACCGTCTTCTTTATCGATCAGCTCCAGTTATCGATCACCTCCAGTTATCGATCACCTCCAGTTATCGATCACCTCCAGTAACTTCAACACAACCTGGAAGCATGGAACAAGTTGAAAAGGATCCAGAAGAGGCACCGGGACGCTCTGTGTTGCCCGAAAATCGAGACGCTAAGACCGGGTAACTTTGTTAGCTTAGTTAGCTTCGTTAGCCTGCTGTTAGCTTCGTTAGCTTAATCCGTTTTTCACACTGAATGGACTGTAAGAACTTAATTCTTGAACATGTTTGTTGTCTGTAATCTATCATTTATTAAACGTGTTTTGATAAATTTTATACAAAACTAAGAAAACAAAAACCTGCAGTCGTCCTCACATGTATTCATCCTCTTCCATTAAAGAAAAGGCAAAATTCACAATAATCACTCAAATAACCAGAAACTGAAAAAAGTAATAATAAATAAAAATTTGCTAAATTATAATTTAGTGAAATAGGAGGTTGCCTTTGTGGTTGAAAGGGGGAATTTAAAAAAAAAAAAACTTTAAATGTCCCGGAAAAATGAGAGCACTTTGCTGATGAGCAGTGGAATCAGAATACCTGTCAACAGGTGAGAAGTCTGATTACTTTTGTCAATTTCAACTTATTTCAGTGACTGAAGCTGTGTTTTCCTTCTTTAATGGGAGGATATGAACACATCTGAGGACGACTGCACAAAACAGAACAAAACAAAACTCCTGCTATGTTTCACTCTGAGCGTCTGAGCCTGAGTCAAACTCTCCATAAGATATAAAACTATTTAGAAGAATCTGTGCAATATCAGTATGTTTAATATCAGCATTTTCTCCTCATGCAACATCAATGCCTTTCTACATATATATATAGAATAACCCTGTGCAGTGTTGTTATTGTCCCAGATACAAAGGAATCTGTGCAAGATCTGACTTTATACACCAGAGTGTGCACAGTTTCAACAGTACTTGTTTATGTTTCTACGTATTTTTCTACAGATGTCCCTATATAGTTTTTGCATGTGCTGCTGCAGCACTCCCCACTGTGGGACGAGTAAAGTCTTATCTTATCTTATCTTAACTTATCTTATCTTATCTTATCTTATCTTATCTTATCTTATCTTATCCTATCTTAGGGTCTCGACTTGGAGGGGTGAGGCAGACCCCAGTGAGGAGGGCACCGAGGAGTCAAAGCGAGAAGAGGAGCAGGAACGTCCAAAGGTTGTACTTTCTATGTGCTTCCTTGTCATTTTCCTCAATGAAGTTATCAAATCTTTATGACTTTGCCCAGAAAGTTTTGATATTGATTAAACCCCTAAAATCTCTTCTTCATTTATCAAACTTGGACATTCAGGTATTTTTCGATGAAAACTAATCCTTACACAACTTTAAGCAGTAGCATTACACCATCCCCTCTTCACTTCGTGCAGCTCCAGCACACCAGCTCATCCATCGCTCTGCTCAAAGACTCTAAAACTGCTCAACAATATACAATTATTGTCTAATAGTGATTTAACTTGCACATTTATTTGATTTGAGTTTACTTAACGTTACAGGTCAGAGAACATCACATAACTACACAAACACCAAGGATGACACATTAAAACCAGAGCCGGGCTGAAAGGAGAACCAGCACCAGAAGCGCTTGAGTAAATGCTGCAGAATCATGATTTAGAAATATCCTGTTCAAGTAAAAGTCCTGCATTCAAAATGATAAATGAGCCCAAACATCCATCCATCCATCCATTATCTATACACCGGGGGGCTGGAGTCTATCCCAGCTGACTCAGGGTGAAGGCAGGTTCACCTGGACAGGTAACCAGTCTATCACAGGGCTACACTTAGAGACAGACAACCAAGCACACTCACATTCACACCTACGGACAATTTACAATCACCAATTAACCTCAGCATGTTTCTGGACTGTGGGAGGAAGCCGGAGAACCTGGAGAGAAGACCCCAAACATGCCGTATCATATAATAAAAAACGACCTGCTGCATTATTTAACGTCACATTTTATAACCACAACCACAAAACACAATAAAAACAAAAGATTTTCACCATGTGGGACCTTTAAGTCTTAGTACTTGTTGCTCTTCCAGTCTGTTGACCTGTTTGTCCAAAGGTACATGGCCAATACGTACTGCACTGTAATCCCCCTCCATTTCTTCCCATAATCACCGCCCAGGGAATACTCAACCTGCAGAGAGAACTGGGAGCGTTTGAGACCAACATCAGAACTGCAGCCGACGCCAAAGAGCTGAAGCGAAGGGCGGAGTTGGAGGAAGCTCGCCGAATGAGGTCATTCTCTCAGTGTCCAAAGTCAGCCCCACTGCTGTGCCTACTTCCAAAACTGCCTGATATGAAGCTGTCCTCTTTTTCATCTTTCGCCCTTTTTGCCGCCATGTTTGTCCCACAGGCGAGAGCAGCAGGAGAGTGATGTGAAATCCATCCAGGAAAAATGTGATGAAATAATGACAAAGTGGTCAGCACTCAGTGAGAAGGTGCTCCCTCAGGACCTGCGTGAAGCCCTGAACGGCCATCAGCAGTTGTGTGCTGCCACCATAGCAGACAAGAAGAAACTCATCAGCGACCTGCAGCAGGTGAATCTGTGTAGACGTTGAACTGGTGATAAGATGTTTGAATAGTTTTAGATTCTCCAACAAAAACCAGAGATCAGCGTTTGTGTAACAGCTGGCCTTAGTTAGAAGATATCACTCTCAGTGTTGTTGCTGAACAGGAGCTAAAGAGGAGAGACGATCAGTATGTGAAGACCTTGAGGAAGAATGAGGAGGAGATCGACCTGCTGATTGAGAGGATGGAGGACCAGATAAAAGCTCTGACTAAAGCTTACAGGGAGGAGCTCAGCCGGACCGAGGTAGGACCGGCAAGCAGCTTTGCATGATTTCATCTGAATATGTAAGTAGAAGTGAGATGAAAGGTAGAACATTACATCAGCAAAGAGTCCTTTTCTGGATTGATTTCACGTTTTGTGTTTTGACCTTCTGGCTAACTGCATCGCTCCATGGATGCCAGTGTCAGCTGTGTGGGTCTGCTGCTTCGTTCCAGACTGAAATATCTCAGTAACTGTTGGACGGTTTGCTTTAAACCTTTGTGCACAGTCCCACAGAGGGTGAAAGCTAAGGACGTCTGTGGTCTTCAGACTTGTCCTGATCTCCTCTGGTGCCACCATGACGTTAACATTTGAGTGAAAATGTCTCAACTACTGTTTAAAATACCGCAGTGGAGACGTTCTTGCTCCTCTTCAGGACTGATTGTTTGATCATCTCTTCATTCTCCAACACTGTCTCCTTAATGAGCAGAACAACACTAACGACGTTTCCATCAGCTGTGCTTTGTATGTATTGATAACCTGCATATGTTAGCATACCGCCGTGTATGTCAGTCAAATAAGATGGTTGAAAAGGTAAATGCTCCACCTGTTCAAAGTTAACGTGTTAGCATGGTGGACTTAGCATTAATCTCAAACTGAGCCCGACAGAGCTGCTGGAGATGCTGGAAACTCTTTTTGATGTTGCTGGTGTCTCCTGCCTCCTAATGATTGCACTGGTGTCCTTCACAGATGGTGGATCAGCAGGAAACTGAAGCCTCACTTGCAGAATACAGGGCAGAATGGGAAAAAGAAACGGAGGAGCTTTGGCACAAACATGTCAGGATGATTAAAATAAAAAACACATACGTAAACTCAGTGTTAAGTTCATCATGATGAACGTCTGTATCTTCCATATGAACTCCACCTAATGATGTCTGATCTGTTTATAGATAGCGAGGCTGACAGAGAGGGAGGAGGAGGAGGAGAAGTATGTGGTGATACCCGACAATCACATACCGGAGGGCACCGACTTACGCAGCCTTGAACTTCAGAAGACAAACTGGCAGGTTTGGCAAAGTGTTGATGTTCATTTAAATGTCTCAGAGACCGGTAATGGTAGTAATGATGGTGTTGCCAGAAACAAAATAAACATTTTACCAGCTTACGAAGAAGAAAGTCTCCAGCCCTGAGTCTGATTCTGGCCTCTGCAGCTTGTGCAACAGATCACGGTCATGAAGCTGCTGATACAAAAGACGAAGCAAAAGCTTTCAGCTGCCAAGGAAGCCTACAACAGTAACAAACACCACATCATGAGGTAGTACATGTTCTCACACACACACCTACACGCACGCACACACACACTCACACACACACGGTCACACTGGTGCTTTGTGCTTCAGCCTGCAGAAAGAGGTATCCGACCTACAAAAGATGCACAAGAGATCAAAGAAAGAGTTCGAGCAGAAGAAACTTGATCTATGGAAGAAGAACGAGCGCTCCGTCCAGCAGCACAAACGGCTGCAGGAGCAAGTCAAGTGAGTCATGATTAAACTGTGAACTCAGAGTGATGTGTGATTACTCACTGCTTTTAACTGCATGTTCTTTATTGTGCTTCTCCACCCTTCTTTGCTTAACACAGACACTTTGCAGCTGCTGATTCCAGAAGGTTCAAGGAGGTGTGGCTCATGTGTGAAGCGGAGAGGAAGCAGCAGGTGGAGAAAGTTCTGGCCCTCGACTCGCGGATCTGCAGGCACCTCGGCGTAGCGTGGAAGCAGCCTCCTGTGCCCGTCATGCAGCACCCTGGTCCCATCCAGCCAGGAAAGCTGTCGGTGGGGATGATGAAGAAAGTGATGGAGCTGCTGTGTGATGAAGGGGTTTGAAAACGTCAAGATTTATGTTTATGAGGAGTTAGAGTTCATGGATCAGATGCTTTTCTAGAGCAGGACAAGAGCTGTAATGATTGAAATATATTCATCACATGACAAACACAGACACATGAACATGAGCAGACATGTTATGCAGCTTGTTAAACTGTTAAACTGTGAGATTTGGTAGGAACATGTTCCCCCCTTTTGGACAGAACCAGGTTAGAAGGGCTTCCTCTGGTTTCCAGTCTGTATGCTGAGATGTGCTAACTGCTTTGTGGCTGCAGCTTTTAAAGACCTTCTCTAGTAAAAATGAAGTTTTTAACTTGGTACCACTTGGTCCATATGCTGGACATCAAAGTCATTGCTGAGCATCTCCAGGTTGAAGCTGTACTGACCCGACGACAGTCTTCAAAAACAGACCTTCAGACCTTCATACATAACTAATCTAAGGAGCCGGTCCTTTCAACTCACAGGCTGGAACTTTCTGTATCATTCTTTAGAAACGGTTTCCTCCTCTAATGTTTATGTACAGAGTAGTTTTACAGAGTTGGAGGTGAACTGGTTGGTTCAGTCGTCCTCAGATTTATTCACACCCGTCCATTAAAGAAAAGGAAAAACTCACAACAGTCACTCAAATAACCAGAAACTGAAAAAAGTAGTAATAAATTAAAATTTTCTTAATTAGAATTTAGTGAAATAAGACGTTGTTTTTGAATTGTGGTTGAAAAGAAGCATTAAAAAAACAAACAAAACTGTCCCAGACCAATGAGAGGCCTTTGCTGATGAGCAGTGAAACCAGAACACCTGTCAACAGGTGAGAAGTCTGATGGAGTCTGTTCATGGGGAAAAAAAACAAAACAAAAAACGTTTACATTTATTTTTTATTTTAATTTTATTTGACCTTTATTTAACCAGATAAAAGACCCACTGAGATCGGACCTCTTTCACGAGGGCGACCCGGCCAAGAAAGGCAGCAGCACAAATAAACACAAAGTAAACATTAAAATATGGAAAGTGTAGACAGAAAGCAGATGAAGGAGCGATGCCTTCGGGAACAGTTTCAAACACAATAGATGTAAATCGTGTTGTACTGAGTCACAGTGAGTTGGTTGCTTCTACACAGCAGTTATCTGGAATCACAAGCTAGACCTGCAGGCAAACATCTCTTCCTTCTGTCTCAGGGCTTCCTGATGGAGAGTGAGCTCCTGAAGCTGCAGAGCGAAGAGCAGACTGTCAAGAAGCTGAGCGCTCTCTTCCACGTGAGTCCATGTTCATACGTTGTCCTCACGCAGCACACACCTGAAGCTCCGGCAGGATGGGCCTCACACGGGCTGCCGCTCTGAGTGGGCGACGTACACGAGCTGGACACGATGGGGCTGATCTCAGTGAACCAGACGTGCTGTTTTCTCTTCCAGTCTTTGGGCCTTGAAGATGAGGATCTGCCAACGTTGGCTGATTTCTTATTAAAGTACAAACAAGAGCAGAGAGCGCAGACTGAGGTGAGGAGGGTGAGAAGAGATATCGGGGGCGACTCTGAGCAGTGTGACATATGACCCTGTTGCTTTGTCTGCCTGCAGGATGTTTGTGCTGAATCCAGTGAGATGGCAAAGTCAGCAGAGGCCAGCGCTGCCATTAGTACGAGCTCTGAAGTGATCCACGGTAGCCGTGTCCTGCCTGCTCTGAGGAGCTTCCTGGAGCAGCAGATGAAGTCCAGGTTAGCCCACATGCTGCATCCTGAACTCCTCACGTAGGCCGCTTGTTTGACAGAATGCTGGATTTCTCTCTGTTCAGCACAAAGCGTGAAATCGCGTTTAATGTGTTGGTGGTGCTTTTTAAGGGAAGCCCGAAATACTTCAGACTACAAAGCCTACTGGGACAGCATGGCCAACATCATCTCCAAGGACAAACTCAAGATGTGGGATGCAGCAGAGAGAACGCTGACAAGATACCAGTGAGTAAGACGCACATGAAGCCGGCGTCCATCTGTATCCAGTGAGTCATCTCTATGTGTGTGTGTGTTCCAGCACGGTTCTGACTGAGATCTCTGAGCTCGACTCTAAGAATATGCGTCTGGAGGAGAGAAACAAAGAACTGAAGGAGCGAGTGCAGCAGATGTCCAGGTCCAGAGTACGTGTTTGAGTTTCTTATGTTTTTATTCTGCCTCATACAGGAACAGTAGAAGGGTTTCAGAAACGTTCCTAACAACACAGAACATGTCACAGCAGTGTCCTGTGATCAGAAGCATGTAAGGAAAGAGTTTTTATCATGTCAGTGTGAGCTGAAGATGACGGTTATCAAACAAGCGAATGCAACAGTTCACCATTTTTATAAGTGATCAGCACATGTTAAGCAAAAATGACATCATGTGAACATGTTTTTAATGATATTTGTCACATTTAGTGAATCAAACGTCCTGCTGGACAG